TATACATAAAATGTGTAAAATAATTATATACTGCAACCAAGTTGGGTTTATTCCAGGTGTGCAAGCCTGGTTCAAGGTTTGAATAGTCAATTGATGTAATCAACCATATCAACAGACTAAATAAAGAAAACTCAAGTAGAATAGTTAAAATAAGGGATTGGTGAGAACATAAGAGAAATTTGGATACCTATTGCCTACAGAATAGTTCAGCAAAATATGCTTCTGTGAGAGCAGCATTGTGAAAATCAGTCTTGTATTTTATAAGCATGTCATAAAATCCAAATCCTGTCGTTATCAGCCATTGTAGACTTCCCCTTATCTCGTCTCACATTCCCTGCCTAGGTTTAATTTTTACCACTTTCCAGTGTGAACTGCCTGTTGCAGCCAGATTAGTTTCCTTGATGCCCTTCCGCCATGTTGAGCTCATTTCAGAATGAAATTACCCATGTACAGGTACAGGTCCTGTCATTTAACTAGCTTTTACTGTGACTTTGGGCAAGTTACTTCACTTTTCTTATCTGTAAAGTCAAGATTATAGTCCTAATTTTCTATTACCTTGCATGTCTTAAATGCGTAATAAACATTAGCTACTGACTATACCTATTCTATCGCTGTATCTTTAAACTCTGATAGCTCTAGAGTGATGCCCAATTGGCTCATAATAGCAGTGAAAAAGGAAGAAGAGAATAGGGAAGGGAGAGTTTTAAAAATGTATGTGATTAGTTTGGTGTATATTCAGAGTTTAAAAGGAATGAATAACAGTTCAATAAAAAGTTTACTTGAAAGAAATAAACACTGAGACTATCCAAAACATACAAAGAACTCTTAAAACTCAACAATGAGAAAACTTAATGACCTAGTTGAGAAATTAGCACATCTGAACAGTTCACCAAAGAAATACTGAAGGCAAATAAGCATATGAAAAGATGCTCATATCATATGTCATTAGGGAATTGCAAATTAAAACAACAGTTAGATACCACTACATGCATGTTAGAATGGCTAAAACACCTATGGCATCTGTGGTGAGATGTGGGGCAATAGGAACTCTCATTTATTGCTAGTGGGGATGCAAAATGGTACAGGCATTTTGGAAGATAGTTTGACGGTTTCTTACAAAGATAAATAAACATAAGCTTACCATATGATCCAGCAGTCACACTCCTAGATATTTACCCAAATGAGTTGAAGATTTCTGTCCACACAAAAACCTGCACATACATGTTTACAGTAGCTTTATTCATAATTGCCCAAAATTGGAAGCGACTAGTATGTCCTTCAGTAGGTGAACTGATAAGCAAATTGTGGTACATCCAATACAGTGGAATGTTACTCAGCACTAAAAAAAATGAACTATCAAGCCATGAAAAGACACAGGGGAACCTTAAATGTGTATTGCTAGGTGAAAGAAGCCAATCTGAAAAAGATTACGTCCTGTATGATTCAACTATATGACATTCTGGAAAAGGCAAAACAAGACAAGTAAAAAGTGGTTGCTAGGGGTTCAGGAGGAGGGGGAAGGGATGAGTTAGGTGGAACATAGGGCATTTTGAGGGCAGTGAAATATTCTGTGGTTCTGTAATGCATGTCATGTATTTGTCAAAGCCCATAGATATGTACACACAGAGCGTGAACATTTTTGTATACTATAGACCTTAGCTAATAAAAATGTATCAATATTGGTCATCATTTGTAACGAATGTACCACACTAACACAGAATGTTAATAGAGGAAATTAGGTGGACGGGGAAGAGGGTCTAATACATGGGAACTCTGTACTTTCTGGACAGTTTTTCTGTAAACTTAAAAATGCCTTGAAAAGGTAAGGCATTGATTTTTAAAAGTGACAGGCTTAATAGGGGAGCCTGTTAATTAGGGAACCCATGGAAGCCTGTTTATAATAATCTAATAATAATCTAGTCCTTGTACCTTTTTGAAATATGGACGCTCAACTATAAAATCATTATTTTTTTCACTAAAGAGTCAAAAAACACTAGCACCCATTATAAAAAAACAACAAAACCTGAGAAAAATAACTTTTTAAATGCCAGATTTTGCCAGAGAAAATTCATGGGTAACCTGGAAGTTGGTTGTGAGTGCTGGAGTCTCAGGAGGGAACCTGAGAAATTTAACTCAAAAATATAAAGGAGCCATTTATGACACTTGGGTGAAATGATAAAATAATTTTCCCTTATGTGTTTACATCACTTGGTCATCAGGTTTTGGAGGCAGTGCATTCCAGCTTGTTCAGGCCTGATGGTTAGGTTCCTACCTTGCATGGACCCACCTTAACCCCTGCACTTGTTCTTTCCTTTCTTTTCTATCACAACATACCTATCGTTCTAGGCTGTGAACACACCCTTTTTCCTTCAGGGTGTGTTCAAGTGAATTTAAAAATAAATTCTGTGTCAAATAAATGTAGAAAGCGCTGCCATGTGAGGAAGCACTGGAGAATCTTTTTTTTTTTTTTTTTGTGGTACGCGGGCCTCTCACTGTTGTGGCCTCCCCCATTGCGGAGCACAGGCTCCAGACGCGCAGGCTCAGCGGCCACGGCTCACGGGCCCAGCCGCTCCGCGGCATGTGGGATCTTCCCGGACCGGGGTACGAACCTGTGTCCCTGCATCGGCAGGCGGACTCTCAACCACTGCGCCACCAGGGAAGCCCTGGAGAATCCTTTTGAAGAGTGAAGAATCCTTTGACTTAAATATGTAACTCTTCCCCTCCCCAGTTTATTTTATAGTAGATTCATATTTTGACTTAACTAATTAAAGCCAAACACACGTGAAGGAGACTTAGCAGCATTAAAGATTTATTTTGTGAGAAAAATTAGCTTTAGAATGTTCAGCATGCAGTGCTGGTTTGTTAACGTCTCTGTTTTCTGCCTGGATTTTATTTGTGTTTGTTTGAACTTACATTTTATTTTATTTTTTAATATTTATTTATTTATTTTGGCTGCACAGGGTCTTGGTTGTGGCATGTGGACTCTTAGTTGCGGCATGCATGCGGGATCTAGTTCCCTGACCAGGGATTGAACTCGGGCCCCCTGCATTGGGAGCGCAGAGTTTTACCCACTGGACTACCAGGGAAGTCCCTGATCTTACATTTTAAAACTGCATTTTAAACAGAGGTTTTATTTTTATGCCCCTTCACAGTTTATCAGATTTGGGTTGTGTAAAAAACATTGACAAATACACTTCACTACAATTTTGAAATCTCTTATGTTATTAGCTTTCATTGTTGAACAATATTATTGCACACTCTCCTGAACCTGACACATTGTTCTGGGTGATTTAAAATAATATTTTGTGTTTGCCTGACTAACAAGGGCATAGGTTAGTAACAGCCAGACAAACAGCCAGAGAAAACTTTTGAAAATAAGGGATAAGTATATGTAGGCATGTATCTTCTGTGGTTTATAGGTAAAAATCTAGCATTTAATTAATTCAGTTCATTTAACTAACTTTAATCAATTAGCCATCTGCAAGTGCTGATCATTAGGCTTCTTAACTAAACAAGATAAGACATTGTCTTGTTTAGTTACTATTTTGATTTTTTCCATTGTTTTCCAGTCTACTGATTTACATAGGTGGAATCATTGATGGCCAGAGTGATTTGTCCCAGGTCACAGTGGTAGAATTTCTAGTCGAGTATCAGTTACTGCCTCTGTGTTTTACATAACCTTGTTGTGAAACTACTGGTGTAGCTTTCTTTAATGTAACATCAGGTACTTAATCATTCAGTTTTGTGACTGGTTTTCCAGGTTAATAACATAGGATAGGAAGTCAACAATTTTATTTTTAAACTCACTAGTATGTAAATATTTATTTTGGTAATTGTGGTAAAAAATGTGCACATGCTAGAAAAATGTGATTGTCATCCTAAACGCATTCTCAAATTAGTAAGTAGAGTGTTTTTACATTATACTTAGTTACTATATACTTAGTATTATTTAGTTATACTTACTGGCTACTTCTGAAAAGTCTAAGATATTTGGAGGTAAAGATGTAAATCTCTGAGAATTAGATAATTTTGTGTGAGATTTGAATGCACAGAAAGAGTTTAAATTCAATTCAAAGATGTATGACAGGGTTTCCTTCACACATAAGGATTATTTCTAAGTTTGATGTTTGTAAATCAGGTAGAGCCTATTTCTACAGCGTAGAATACCTCTGATTTCACGTTTTGGAGCGTTTGGTCTGCATGCTAGACCTCTTTTATTAAAATGTTGAATGGTTTAAAGGTTGTTTGCTTTTTATACATATGTACTAGTCTGACCTTAATTTTTTTTCCTTTTGACTTTCCCCAAATTAATGATGTTTAACAGCAGAAATCTAGTTTTATATTTGTTGGTTACAGTTGTTAAAATGATTAGAAAAGTATACAGTTAGCATTTTGACATATGAATTGAGAGTTGAAACATCACTATAAAATGTTTCAGATTTATTTAGAAAGATGGGAAATTCTTTCGTTGTTAATGATCCTTTAAAATGTATAATTTTAACTTGGAAATTGGTCTTCTTAATAATTCATAATAAGCAACACCTGGAAAGCATTTGAAGACTGCTTTAGAATTCTTCAGAATTTTAGATATATTTTAGATCTCTTGTCTCATTTGCAGAGGTGAGAAGAGCTTTGTAGCATAATCTTCATTTTCCTTCACTGACTTGGTTTTGGTTAAGGGAGATTTAAAAACACTTAAAACATACTGTATTATTGTCTTAGTTTGAGTTGATTCCATGTGAAAAGTTATCCAGATATTGTCAAACAGTTATTCAAGAGGTTAATTTGCATGCAATTTATGTGCATGTGACTTCATTTAAAGCAAAGGTCAAAACTTTCTTCCCTACCAATTTATACTTCTCTGTGCATTTTTGCTATTGCGCTATGAATTTAGGTATTTAGTAACTAATAAGAAAGCTTTGTATAAATTTTACTCACAAAGATGACCTATGTGGTTAGTAGTTGACATAGTTTATTTCTAATTGTCTTTCATTTTGTAGAGCGCTACTGAGCCAAGCCAGGCTGTATGCCATTGCTGCTGAAAAAAAGAATTATCTTCAAGAAGAGGCCACTTCTTCTCATAGAAGGAATACCAGTCAGTTTGATTGGGCTCTAATGAGGCTAGATAATTCTGTCCGAAGAACTGGCCGCATCCCTAAGACTCTTCTACAAAAAGTCTTTGATAACACTTGCCACTCAGGTATTTCAAGATTTTCTGTTAAAAAAGTTGAACTTAAGTAGTGGTTTGGTGGTAAGCTCATTATAGAGCACATTACTTGATACTTCAAATTTTGTTATTTCTATTCATGATTTTATGTTATGATTGTGATCTGTTTTTCCAACTCATCAGAGCAAAGTTTTGAGTAAAACATTTTGTTTTGCATGTTTATTTCAAAATCAGCAAATAAAAATGGTCTTCTCCCACAGTTTATGAAGGAATCACTTTGAGTGGTAAATTTTCTTGGAAGATATTAATTTGTCTTCTGTTGTATAGTGTCTGCTTTCCCTAAGATAATCACATATGACAAATTCCCAGAAAGACTGATAATCACTATTTCCCTTTCATTTTCACTTAGCTATTAAAATTTATTTGAGTCACTTATGCAACTTTGATAATCTGATAGAAACTTGCCCTCAACACCCCCCCCCAAAAAAAACCCTAACCACACATGCTCACACAAAAGCCCACGTGCAAGCCACACACATAATTTTGTATATGGTTTGAGAGCATTCACCAGCTTCCCAAAGCCCATCCATGATTTCAGTCACATTAAGCTGTAGAATCTAATGATGAGGGATACTAAAGAAGTATCAGTAATAACTTGCATTTAAAGACAGTTTTTATCATTTTCTGTCTTTGATTTATTGAGTTGTACGGCTATCACCGCAGTCAATTTTAGAACACTTTTATCACCCCCAAAAGAAACCTCCATACTCCTAAACATCAGTCCCCAGACCTCCATCCCTTCCAGCCCTAGGCAACCACTAGTGTACTTCCTTGTAGATTTGCTTATCCTGGATACTTTATATAAATGGAATCATGCAATAAGTGGTTTATTTTTGTTTTTGTTTTAAAGTCGGCTTTCAGAGACATGTGGATAAAGGGAGAAGGAAGTTTTGTAGAGGATTATAAACCTAAGTTGGATATTCTTTGGTTTTAATTGTACTGCTTTGTACTATTTTCATAAGATACTGAGAAGTTTAGCCTTTCTATTGCAGTAAGCACTAGGTTCTTTGTAGTCTTGCAGATTCTATAGATTTATAACCTTAGCTTCCCTAAGAAAACAGATCAGTTTTAAAAACTTGTAGTAACATTGTAAATGATACTTGTTGATTGGGATAGGATTTTTCTGATTTATGAGTACTCTTTTAATATTATCTTTAGTGAGGCAGGAGATTTTAAAATATTTACAGATTTCAACTTAAGTTTTGATATTTATCTGCATGGTATTGTTACTATGTTAAATATTACACGTTAACCTGTTTTCATAGGTAGCCGAGGTGGTAATCAAGCCTTGCTTCTGCTGCGCAGCTGTGGTTCTCTCTTGCCTGAACTAAAGCTCTCAGAGAGAACAGAATTTGCTCATAGGATATGGGACAAACTTCAGAAATTGGGTATGATTGTATGAATATATGATGTGTATGAAGGGTGTAGATACTTTTTCTTTTAGTAAAAAAGAATTTCTTTTCATAAATGCTGTAGTTCAGTTTTATGGAAGGGTTTTACTTGATTCATATTTTTTTGTGATATGACTTATTTGGTGAGTTATAGTGACATCTAGGGGCATTAAGAATAAAATAATTTTTCATAACAAGTATTACTTTTAGGATAAGTTAAAAAGAACGAAGTAGAAAGACATTTAGTCTGTCAAAGTTATAAGTGCACATACTATTTGACCAAGCATTTCTATTTGTTAGAATTTATTAACATATCAAGCATTTCAGTGTTTTAATATGTTTATACTTTAAAAAATTCCTTTTGACGTACAGTTGATTTACAATATTATATTAACTTGAGGTGTACAACATAGTCTGTTTGTTAGAGTTTAGATAGATATACTCACATGTGCAAAAGGATATTCTTCATTGTAGCTTGTTTGCAAAAGTAAAAATTGGAACCAACTCTAATGTCCCTCACTAGAGGTTTGGTTAAATAAATTATGGAGTGTCTGTAAAATGGAATACGGTGCAACCATTAAAAGAATGGAGTTCTTCATATACTAATGTGGGGTTTTCTCCAAAATATAATTAAAAATTAAGATGCAGAACAGAGTGTATAGTTTGATACCATTCTGAAGAAAAATGTTTATATGTGTATGTGCATATGATATTAAAATATTCCTGGAAGGATGATAAACACTAGATACAATTTTTACTGTATACTTTTTAAAAAAATTATAGTTGATTACCCTATACTCTTTTATACTTTTTCATTTTGGGGCTATGAATAGTACCTATTCAAAAAATAAAATAGTTTAAAAGATCATTTGATAAAATTCAGTGTTCATTCCTGATTTAAGAAAATCTTAACAAAGCAAACTAGAAATATCTATGTGTCAGTAAGTCACATAATTTAAAAACACATGTTGAACTGGGAGAAATATTTGTGAGAATGGTTATATTCTAAAATAGAAAAGAGCCCTTACATAGTAGTCATAACATTAATACCTCAATAGAAAGATAGACATGCATTACTTTCTATTATAATTGTTCACAAACATGTCTTTTCTCTATACTGTATATCCTTTGTGAGAGTAGAATTCATAACATCTTTGTTTTTCTCTTTGCCAGTAGAATAATGCTTTGAACTTATTACACTTGTTAACTAGTTGTTGAATTAATATTGTTAGAAACCTGGTAGATTGCCACCGTGACTCTTGTTCACAGACTTTTTTTAAGCTGTAAGAGATTTTTTTAGCTTAGGTAATATGTCCAAAGTTACAGAATGAGCTGTGACAGATCCGAGACTGGAACTGAGTTTTCCAGACTAAAGGGGATTCTTTAGTCCCCTTTAGTCTGGAAATGATAGGCTCTCATTTCAATGTTGCCATATGCTAAATTTTTTTTTTTTTTTTTTTACGATACGCGGGCCTCTCACTGTTGTGGCCTCTCCTGTTGCAGAGCACAGGCTCCGGACACGCAGGCTCAGCGGCCATGGCTCATGGGCCCGGCCGCTCCGCGGCATGTGGGATCTTCCCGGACCGGGGCACGAACCCGTGTCCCCTGCATCGGCAGGCAGACTCTAAAACACTGTGCCACCAGGGAAGCCCTAAATTTTTAAAAATAGAATTACTTCTGGTGTACTTCTTGGCCACATCATGATAATATATGTCTCCTTAAGTTTTGTTATTCAGGTTATTTATCTTTTCTGGAGTGTTCTTTTGTTTCTTACTCTTTAAGTCAATCCATTTTTCAAGCTATAATTTAAATCCCTCCTTTCTAGAGTTTTACCTCCAGTCCCAATTAGTGTCTCATCAGTTTCCTGCATTAGAATTGTGAGTTTGTCTTTTTTTTTTCTTTGGCTGCATTGGGTCTTCGTTGCTGCACGCGGGCTTTCTCTAGTTGCAGTGAGTGGCAGCTACTCTGTGTTGTGGTGTGTGGACTTCTCATTGTGGTGGGTTTTCTTGTTGCGGAGCACGGACTCTAGGCATGTGGGTTTCAGTAGTTATGGCACGCGGTCTCAGCAGTTGTGGCACACGAGCTTAGTTGCTCCGCGGCATGTGGGATCTTCCTGGACCAGGGATTGAACCTGTGTCTCCTGTACTGGCAAGTGGACTCTTAACCACTGCGCCACCAGGGAAGTCCCTGAATTTGTCTTTTTAATAGATATTCTTCTCTTGGAGGCTGATGATTTTATCTTATTCATATTTAGATCTTTGTCATGAACCTTCCAGTGTTTTGCACATGTTGGGTACTAAAGTAGTAATAGTTGAAATTGTAGAAAATGTTCAAGCAAATTTAACTTGACTTCAAAAAAATTCAAATTCTACTTCATTAAATAGTAAATCTGTTAATATTAACATGGTTCAAATGCAAAAGGTTCAATAAAGTTTATAGTGAAAGGCTTTGACCTATGTTCCCCAGACACCCAGTTCCACTCTTGGGGCCAGTCAGTCAAATCTAACTTAAAAAAAATTCTCTAAGAAAATAATCACATTTTGGAAAAAGATAGATGTAATTTTTTTAGAAAACTATTTCTTACAAAGGCTGTTAATCTATTTGGGATTGCAAAAAACTTTGATCACTAGAACTCTGGTTTAGAGACAAAGGTAGGGAGGGATAAAAACTACTCTGAACAAAAAAGTGCAAACATGTTTTTAAGTATTGGTATTAAGGACAGGTCCACATTTAATATATTTATATAATCTTAATGAAGGGGACTATATAATGACATCTTAAAGTTTTCAGATGACACCATATTTTTCTTGAACAGTAAAATGCCAAGCTAATTAACATAACTACACATAAAAAGCCCTGTGAGATGACAGAAAAGTGACAGGTAACTTTTACTAAGCACAAGGTAATACATGGAAGAGAGAATAATTATCCGAAATACACCAATGGATGAACACTAATCTAGCAAGAAACCTGGCTTTTATCTAAAATAGTAATATTTTAGGATATTCTTTCAGGTTTGAACAAAATAAGTATAAGATAAATGTAAGTGGATGACAATTTACAAAATTATTACATAATGAGATTGAACAAGAACATAATATTAAAACATTAAAAGTAATGGACAGCAGAGCCAGAGCCATGAGATAGTATTAGAGGTATAAGGGTATATGGTAAGGTACATAAGGAAATGCTATTATATAGCTTTTGATTATTAAAGTAAGATATTTTAGGATTATGTCCCTAAACTTTGAGTTTTTAATTTAAATTTTAAAGATTTTAATTTACTCTATGAAAGATACACTATGTATTTTTAAAAAATTATTCTTCAAGAAATGACCCATGAAATTAACTAGACATAATAGTAAATATGGGGATAAAATTTTTACTGAATTTCACAGAAACGTTTTTGTCATCTGTAGAACCATGTCAATGTGGCAGAAATAAAGAAATGAAACCCAGTTATGTTAACATTGATCTTGACTAAAATCTATGAAAATCCAGAGTAGATGTTACTTATCTGGATTTTCAGCAGTTTCCTCAGCTTTTCCAGCACACTAGAGTAAATACCTTTATAAAATTATAGAATATAACTTCCTCAGCCTTAGAGCTGTAGCCAACCATTGTTAAGAGTTCAGCTTGAGTTGATGGTTTTTTGAAAGTTCTCAGACACTACATGGTAACCCTGTTGCCTAATTATATTACAGATGTGGACTTGCATATGGTTTCCTATAAGGCCCTGTATAAAGTATTACAATGGTTAAGAGATTGGGCTCTCAAGGCAGACTACCTACATTCAAATTTATGGTCATATACTAGCCTTGTGGCCTTGGGTAAATGGAAGAGTCAGTTTTCCTAATCTGTAAGATGGGGATGATAACAGTACCTTCCTGAAAGCTGTTGTGAAGAGTAATTCAACCTCTGTATGCAGAGCACTTAGTACAGTGCCTGAAACATAGTAAATACACTACATGTCTAAGGTTAAAAACAAGTTTTAATTTAATAGAACAGGACTCTACTGCTTTGAATGTCTAACTGACACCACAGGCCTGTGTAGCCACAGGCAGTTGAATAAAGATATAAAATTTAATTCCTGATAATTTAGTAAAACATGTTAGCACTGTACTGATATGGTAACCCTGATGTCATGTTGTGCGTTGGTATGGTAAGGCTGAGTGGTAACCTTAATTGATATGGCCTTAGGCAAGATAAACATAGAGGGCTTCCCTGGTGGCGCAGTGGTTGAGAGTCCGCCTGCCGATGCGGGGGACACGGGTTTGTGCCCTGGTCCGGGGGGATCCCACATGCCACGGAGTGGCTGGGCCCGTGAGCCATGGCCGCTGAGCCTGCGCGTCCGGAGCCTGTGCTCCGCGACGGGAGAGGCCACAGCAGTGAGAGGCCTGCATACTGCAAAAAAAAACAAAAACAAAAACAAAAAACATAGAAAGAAAACAAAGGGCATTGGAATACAGGTAATTAACAATAGCAGACTAGAAATGGTGTTCAGCAACTAGAAATGGAGTGGAAATGGAGCCTTCAAACACTGAGTAGCCTGGTTAGTAAATAAGCAAAATTGTTAGCACAGTCCTACCTGTATATAACAACTGCAGTCACAATTCATCCATCTCAGGGTATCTGTAATGTGGCTAGGACTGCTTTATAAGGAAAAATCTTTCAGCCACTTTAAATGTAGGGGTCTTACTATTATAAAACTCTTAGAGGAAAACATAGGCAGAACACTCTATGACATAAATCACAGCAAGATCCATTTTGACCCACCTCCTAGAGAAATGGAAATCAAAACAAAAATAAACAAATGGGACCTAATGAAACTTCAAAGCTTTTGCACAGCAAAGGAAACCATAAACAAGACCAAAAGACAACCCTCAGAATGGGAGAAAATATTTGCAAATGAAGCAACTGACAAAGGATTAATCTCCAAAATTTATAAGCAGCTCATGCAGCTCAATATCAAAAAAACAAACAACCCAATCCAAAAATGGGCAGAAGACCTAACTAGATATTTCTCCAAAGAAGATATACAAATTGCCAACAAACTCATGAAAAGATGCTCAACATCACTAATCATTAGAGAAATGCAAATCAAAAATACATTGAGGTATCACCCCACACCAGAATGGCCATCATCAAAAAATCTACAAACAATAAATGCTGGAGAGGGTGTGGAGAAAAGGGAACCCTCTTGCACTGTTGGTGGGAATGTAAACTGATATAGCCACTATGGAGAACAGTATGGAGGTTCCTTAAACAACTAAAAATAGAACTACCATATGACCCAGCAATCCCACTACTGGGCATATACCCTGAGAAAACCATAATTCAAAAAGAGTCATGTACCACAGTGTTCATTGCAGCACTATTTACAATAGCCAGGACATGGAAGCAACCTAAGTGTCCATTGACAGATGAATGGATAAAGATGTGGCACATATGTACAATGGAATATTAGCCATAAAAAGAAATGAAATTGAGTTATTTGTATTGAGGTGGATGGACCTAGAGACTGTCATACACAGTGAAGTAAGTCAGAAAGAGAAAAAGAAATACCGTATGCTAACATATATATGGAATCTAAAAAAATAAAACAAAAAATGGTTCTGAAGAACCTAGGGGCAGGACAGGAATAAAGACACAGATGTAGAGAATGGACTTGAGGACATGGGGAGGGGGAAGGGTAAGCTGGGAAGAAGTGAGAGATTGGCATGGACTTACATATACTACCAAATGTAAAATAGATAGTGGGAAGCAGCCGCACAGCACAGTGAGATGAGCTTGATGCTTTGTGACCACCTAGAGGGGTGGGATAGGGAGGGTGGGAGGGAGACTCAAGAGGGAGGAGATACGGGGATATATGTATATGTATAGCTGATTCACTTTGTTATAAAGCAGAAACTAACGCAGCATTGTAAAGCAATTATACTCCAATAAATATGTTAAAAAAAATACAGGGGTCTTGTCAGCATTTTCTAACAGGAAGGGAATACTGTGCTTCATAAGTAAGAGAACTTTTAATCCTTGAATAGGCAGTTACTTGTAACTGTCCATTAATTCAGTAATTATTCTCTTGTGTACTTAGTTTCCTCTGTTCTGGCAGAACTTCTATATAGGTGGGTCTAAATACGGAGTATAATGCTGAAGTGATCATTTTACCCTCCTTGTTTGTTACATTTAGGTGCACATATTTCAGTTGTGTTAAAGGGTATGACTTTAAGTGCTCTTCCAAAAATTTGATTTAAATTTCATTTGTAGGTACTGTGTATGATGTAAGTCACTATAATGCTTTGCTTAAAGTCTACCTTCAAAATGAGTATAAATTTTCACCAACTGACTTCTTGGAAAAAATGGAGAAAGCAAACATTCAACCAAATCGAGTAAGTAGTTGCTATTATAAATGTTTATTGGTCATATCCACTTTTATTTTTACCCAGAAAAAAAAATTTTTAGGCAGTATTAACTGGCCCATTTCATTGACAGGTGACATACCAAAGGTTGATTGCTGCTTATTGTAATATGGGAGATATTGAAGGTGCCAGGTATGTAGTTCTATGAGTGTATGTTTAAGCGAACAAATTTGTAAGTCTTGTAAACCTAGAATATTTTCATTCTTTTTTTTTTAAGTTTCTACTTAGTAAAAAAATTATTTCAGAAGTATTTTAACCTAGCAAATTTGGTCATATGACTTAGATAAAATATAAAATTTTGTAAAAGGGGAAGTGTAATTGAAAATTGCTATTTTAATTAAAAATTTCATTTACTGGAGCAGAAGTTTAAAATTGTTGAGGTACAAAGCTGACTTTACTTTTTTTTTAATTGCTGTTTCCAAAAGTAAATGTTCTTAACCATTTACACTGTATTCATTTATAAAACTGATAATATTCTTTTTTCAGTGATTTGTATAAAATTAGTTATGACATTTCTCTGCTCATGTAAAATTTATTAATACTTTTGGATGGAGGGTTTAGGAAATAAGAAATAAATTGAAATGTACAATCTCATTTTTAATGAAATGAATCACTAAACTTTATGCTTTTTAAAGGTTAATTAGTACAGAAGAAACAATCAGATTTTTAAAACTTACCTAGTGTTTTTAACAAGAGTACTTCAAGACTATTGATAGAACTTCAAGGAGTGGAATTTTGTGTGCACATGTTGTAAAAGGTGTTTTTCATGTGTATTTCCAAGAAGTATTTTTATTTCTCTTTTGTTGCAGCAAGATTCTTGGATTTATGAAAACTAAGGATCTTCCAGTCACAGAGGCAGTATTCAGTGCTCTTGTTACAGGGCATGCAAGAGCTGGGTAATGTTCCACCTAAGGTTTTATTCTCAAGTGAGATTTAAATTACAGAAAATTATTGTGGAAAATTCTTAAACTATGTTTATCTCTCAAAAAAAATCTTGAGTGTGTGTGGTAGAACATGCACATCTTAAAATAAATTATTCTTAAATTTATCTGTTTCATCAAACTTTTATTTGAAGATTTCAGTTTTAAAAATTGGACTTGATCCAAGGTAACTGACTTTGTAAAGTTTATTAACTACTCTGCTAGTGACCTGGAAAATATTTTTATTTTTGAAGAATAATTTACTAAATGTTATTCTTTCCTAAAAAGGTAAATTTAAGTCACAACATACCAAGTGAAAGAGGGCACGTTATTTAATGTCTATGTAATTATTATTTAATTTGGTTTCTCTTTTGGAAAAGTTACCTATAAAAATTTGAGATGTTTATGATCTTTATTATTTCAGAAATCTGTTACCAGTTTAATATGTATTTATTCTTTTCTGATGTTACGATTCTAAATGGTACTTAAGAATTTTAATTTTAATAAGCATAAGTAATACTTTCTAGATTAAATGATATGACATTTGGCAGTATTATGGTAATCTATTTTATTTTCTTTGAATTAACTTACAGAGATATGGAGAATGCAGAAAATATTCTCACAGTGATGAAAGAGGCTGGAATTGAGCCTGGTCCAGACACATACCTAGCACTGTTGAATGCATATGCCGAGAAGGGTGACATTGACCATGTTAAACAGGTGTGACTTATATAAATAAACATACTTTAAAATCATTTGTATAAACTGCTACATTTTGCAGGATGCAGAAAAGTGTAGTTTATATGTTTTTAAAGATATCTCTTGTAGACAGTCTTGAAAGAGAATTCTTACTATAGTTCAGTACTTTGGTGTTGATGTAACAGTTATTGTTGGAATAGAATGTTTTTCTGTTTCATAAGAGAAGTCTTAAACCTTTAGATGGTATGTGTTTCTAATTTTTTAAAATCTTGGTATTTTAATTTATTTAGCTTTAATAAAAAAAACAAACTTGTGTCTAACTTGTTCTTCTAATTTCTGGAACTGTCTATAGACCCTGGAGAAAGTGGAGAAGTCTGATCTTTACCTTATGGATCGTGATATATTGCAAATTATCTTTAGCTTCAGTAAAGCTGGATATCCTCAATATGTCTCAGAAATTTTGGAAAAAATTACATATGAAAGAAGATATATTCCAGGTAGTTTTACAATTTTTACTTTCATGATTTTTCTAAAAATAAGAATTACTATTTCTACATGATGGAAAGGGCATTCTTTAACAATAGGGTATTGTGGTAGATGAACATAGGATTCTTTTAAAGTCAGCTTAATAAACTGAAAAACTTGAGTGAATGAATACGTAGGAATGTTTTGATTTGGAAGTGTTTCACTATCATGTAGGCAGATAAATCCTTTTCGTATTTGTAGTTCATAAGTTTGTCTTTCATATTGGTAGCAGTGTAGAAATATTGTTCAAATCGGTAACAAAAGATGTCTTTGTTTTCTTTCCAGATACAATGAACCTCATTTTGCTTTTAGTCACAGAAAAATTGGAAGATACAGCATTGCAGATTTTATTAGCATGTCCTATATCAAGGGAAGACAGTCTGAGTGACTTTGGCAGTTTCTTTTTACGACACTGTGTGACTATGAATACGGTATTTACATAGTCCATTTTTTCTTTGTAGACAATGTAATTGGTAGTGAAATAATATTCTTTAAAATAAGAGAATGTATTATGAGATTAGACCAACTATAAATATTAAGAGAAGTTTGTTTTTGTGTTGGAAGATTATTGGATAGAAAGAGGGTGAGAAGTTCAAATTTTTTATCTCAAAAGTGGTAGAATATTTGCAGAAGGTCAAATGGTAGGATATTTGCAGATTCAGCTGATGTGGTGCCTTTCTTTTCTAGCCTGCAGAGAAGCTTAAAGACTACTGTAAGAAGTTAAAGGAAGCCCAGATGCACACATCTCCTTTCCAGTTCACACTCCACTGTGCTTTACTAGCCAAAAAAATGGGTACTATATTCTCGTAATTGAAACCCACATAAGTAAGTTTTGCTGAGGTAGCTTTGTAATATTTTATGGTGTCTCTTTCAGATTTGGCAAAAGCTCTAATGAAGGCTCTGAAGGAAGAAGGTTTTCCTATCAGAACTCATTATTTCTGGCCATTACTAGTTGGACATCAGAAGGAGAAAAATGTTCAAGGTTAGGTTTTACCTTTTACAGATTTAATAGTGGTTTAGATATCCAGTATAACAGTTTCTACACACATTTAATTATTTGGGAAAACATGCTTATTAGATCTTATGAGAAAATAGAATTAAGTCATAGTAAAGTATTAGGTAAACGTTTAAAAAACAAACATAATGGATTTCTTTCATCTTAATTTCATTTTTTTTTTTTTTTTTTT